ACCTATTGGCTACAAACATGTACCAGTTAAAATAAAAATGAAACAAAATATGGAGAAGGAAAACATTTTGGCTCAGAGGAGGTATTTGATCATGGACTAGCCTACCTTGATTATCTGTAAGGTGCCATTATCCCTAATAGTGGCTTCAACCACAGAAAATAAGTAGCTGTATTATTATTATAGTCATTTCCAATATAATCTGTTTTTGTAGGCTACCTCTTGAAACTTTTTCTCTTCTGAAATTATTTGTTCTTTTCATCACATAGCAGATCTTCCTATCAGTTTCCATTTTGACACTTTTAAAAAATGAAGCACTTTTGCTTTAAAAATGTGCATGTAACAATTCAACTCAGTTTTTATATTTTGACACAAGATTAACACAGCTAACTAGAAAGAAGGAAGATGAACCAAACATATACTTTGAGAATAATTAGAAATATATAGTAGATTAAAAACTCAGGTGTAGCCTTTAGATTTTTTACCATATTCACTGCTATCACAATGTGCTTTCTGCTTTTTAGTAATTACCAGGTATTCAGGTTGCATTTAATATATTGGATTACTATATTGCGTTTAGTATATATTGGATTATCTGTTACTGGAATACTATAGCAAATGATGGGCCCAGATTTTTAAAAGTCTGTTTTTGTTAATTTTGTGTTTTTTTTAAAGCCAATATCAAAAAAGATCATTATAGAATCATAGGTTTAGAAGACACTTTAGAAGTCATTGGGTCTAGTCTCATTTTACAGGTGAGAAAACTGGTTAAGTGATTAAGAGGTAAAGTGACTTGCACAGGGTTGCATAGATATTAAATGTTGGAGGTAAGATTTGAACTCAGGTCTTAGATTTCTTTTATCTTGTCCACAGATTTTTGAAGTAAATAATAATTTAAATTTTTTCTCTTATTTCTAATGTGTTGCAATTTGGTATGCATATGAATTCTATGCTTGTATTGCTAGACCTAGTGGAATGAGATATAAAATTACATTTTCATTCATTCATTTGAAAATGCTTATTGTCAGGCAGATATTTAAAATATATTTAAATATATTTGAATTTTAATTAACACAGAGATCCTAACTACTAAAAAGGTAGAATGAAAACTCATTTATGAGGAGAGAAGTATAAAAAAGGGTCAATGAGTGAGTGACTAATTTAAAAATCTTGGTAATAGCTCTCACATGGACAGTCATTGTTTTTATTGTACTTTATAGAATCTTGTGTGGCTAAATAGGATCCAGGTAATCGAGATTACAGATTAAGGACTGGTGCATCCAAGTCATTCATGGGGAAAAAAAAAATATATATATATATATATATATATATATATATATATATATATATATATATATATATATTTTCTAGAGGGCCTGTTGAGAAGATAACTGTAATGAACAATTTAATTTTTTTAGAGAGATAAAGTATTCTCATTCTATATTTTCAAAATTAAGGACAATGGAGAAGAGATTAAAAATACAATTAAACATAGGAAGGATAAAGCCTTTATTTAAGACATGAAAAATAATAGATATGGAATTCTGTTCCATATTATAGTGAGGAAAGAATAAAGATATTGAAAGAGACATATAAGAGCAAATTATCACTTATCACCACCTTTAAATGTTATTGATATTTTTACTATTAACTAATACTATTAATAATCCTTTCAACGCTGAGAAGATGCTTGTCCAGTTTTCTTTTCAAGTTTCAATTCTTTTCCTACAAAATTTTGAAGATCTTTTAATGTGTAAGGGAATAACTTAGATCTTAGATAATAATTGTAAAATTTTAAAAGACATCAGGTTAATTGATGACCAACTTGAATAACTGTTTGTTATTTGAATGTTGTTGTATTGCCATGTCTTTGTTCTTTGAGACATTAGAGTAGTTTCATTTTTCCAGGCCAGAAGGTTATGGAATATTATCTCACTAGTACTAGTTTTATGAGACTGATCCATACATATATTAAAGATAATCCGTGAGGAAAATTTGAGATGCAAGCAAACAGAATTTTGTGAATGATATTCGCAAGTGAACCACATCTTCATAGTCACAAATTCACTGAAAGATAGAGAGAATATAAAATGTTTGCTGAAAAACATGTAAAAAAGCATTTAATTTTGTAAAGTGCATCTGTCAAGACTCTGACAAGATATATATCATGATAAATAAAACAGATAAACTTGTTCCACAACTCTCTGATTTTAAGTGAGGTATAAAACAGAGATGTATATTCACCAAAAGTGTTTGCCACTGTCATGAAGGATGTCCAGGGCAGCAGAATTCAAATGAAATAATTCCCTAAAGCTGTCTATAGTTATATGAAAAAAAATGCTCTAAATCACTATGAATTAGAGAAATGCAAATCAGAACACCTCTGAGGTACCATATCACATCTATCAGATTGGCTAATATGACAAAAAAGAAAATGATAAATGTTGGAGATGCGGGAAAATTACCAAAACTAATGCATTGTTGGTAGAGTTATGAACTGATCTAGCCATTCTAGAGAGCAATTTGGAACTATGCCCAAAGGGCTATAAAACTGTGCCATTGATCCAGCAATACTAGGTCTGTATCCCAAAGAAATCATAAAAAAGGAGAAAGGACCTCCATGCACAAAAATATTTATAGCAGCTCTTTTTGTGGTGGCAAAGAATTGGAAATTGAGGGGATGCCCATCAATTGGGGAATGGCTGAACAAGTTGTGGTTTATGAATGTAATTGGAATACAATGATGAGCAGGCAGAATTCAGAAAAGCCTGGAAAGACTTACGCGAACTGATGCTGAGTGAAATGAACAGAACCAAGAGAACATTGTACACAGTAGCAGCCATACTGTGCGATGACTAACTTTGATAGACTGAGCTCTTGTCAGCAATGCAAGGATCTAAGACAGTTCCAAAAGACTGATGATGGAAAATGCTATCCACATCCAGAGAAAGAACTGTGGAGTCTGAATGCAGATCAAAGCATATTGTTTTCTTTCTTGTGGTTTTTCCCTTTTGTTCTTATTCTTCCCTCACAGCATGACTAATGTGGAAATATGTCTAATAGGATTGTACATATATAGCCTATATCAGATTGCATGCCATCTTGGGGAAGGAGGAAGGGAGGGAGAAAAAAACTCAGAACTCAAAATCTTATGAAAGTGGATATTGAAAATTATCTTTACATATAATTGGAAAAAACAAAATACTATTAAGTGAAAAAGAAAGAAAGATTCCTACTCAATGAAATCTCTCAGATATAAATATAGTTTGTGGATATCATTAATACCTGAATTCCTACAGAGGCTCCTAAAAAAATTTGGTTTAATAGTATAGATAGGAAAACCTAGGTGGATTGAAAATACCTGTTTTCCAGACCATGGTGTGTACTTGAATGAATAGTACATTGAAGTAGTCATATGTCTTACATTACAGTTGAATAATGATTGATCCCAGCATTGAAGAGGTGGAAAAGAAGCAGGTGGATTGCTTTTGGCAAATTAAATAACACTTTCAATGACCACAAGCTTTTCCCTGCAAGGATGCGTATTTTTTAAACACAAGTATTCTTCTGATGATGCCATATAGCCATGAGTCATGAGGCAAAGCAAGCTGTGAAGAATTGGAATTACAGGTCACCCAGAGAGCAAAGGCTGCAGTATAGAAACCATGGCTTATACCTAAGAAGTGGCATAAGAGATTTCTTCAAAGAGATGTATTATAGAAAAGGAGGTGGGCTGACTGTGTGGCAGTCTCCATCTCCCCCAGCATTGATTGGGCTCTCTATTTAATGCTGGATGTGATGAGGATTTCATTGTAAGCCAAGTGACATTTAGACTTAGTTTTAGAGAAAAAGGAATAACTATAAATAAATATATGAAATATGTGATTCAAATTATGAAGGATAAGTAGAAAATTATTAGCTATAGATTTTTCAAGCTAACCTAAATGCTTAACTAATGTGAATGCCTCAAAATGATTGTCCTACCTATTTGTTCTTCACCACTAGGAGTCATTCAGTGAGACAGAATATGATAGAAAGATCATGATACCTGGGTTCTGTAGCCTGGGCAAGTCACAGTCTTGTACTTAAATTTTTTTCATCTGCAATTTAGAAATAGTAATATTCCCAGGGATTTCCTCTGGATTGTTGTTACTCAGTCGTATCTGACTCTCCATGACACCATTTGGGGTTTTCTTGGCAAAGATTCTGGAGTGCTTTGCCATTTCCTTCTCTAGCTCATTTTACAGATGAGGAAACTGAGGCAAATAAGGTTAAGTGACTTGCTCAGGGTCACATAGCAAGTAAATGAGTCACATTTGAACTCATGAAGATGAGTCTTTGGGATTCCAGGTCCGGTATTTTATCGACTGCCCTGCCTAGCTGCTGGAAAAATATCAGGTGCTAAACAAATTTAGGATGCCTCATAGATAATAACTGGTTACACTTATATGTACCACTTAGAGTGGTGTAAGGGGAACGGTGCTGGACTTGAGCTTGAGACTTGGATTCACATCTGAGCCTGGACACTTATTAACCGTGTGACCTTGGGCAAGCCACTTAAACTCTCAGTTTAAGGAGCCTCAGTTTCCTCATCTGTAGAGTGGTGATAATAACACTTGTAGAACAGGTTTCCCAGGGTTGTGGCTAGTCTCCCATGAATATGTAAAATGCTTTGTAAATCTCAAAGGACTATGTTAATGGAAGTTATTGTTGTTGTTATTATCATAATCTTCTGGCAGAAATAATCACTTTCCCTAAGTACTTAAGGGCAGGTAGGATTGTTACACTGAACAAATAAGATTGTAGAGATAGAAAGAATAATGATTTTCATTCAAAACAAGGGGCTTTGTGCCACTGGACAGCTCTTCTGAGTGATAGATGTTTTTAGAATATGCTGAAAAAATAAAAATCAAACTGTTTTATGTAACATAAAAGCTAGAAAACCAATTTCATCACCAAAAGTAAGCGTAGCCATTCATTCTCAGATTTGCTTTTATTGCTAGCTACAAGATCTCCAGTACCTGATTGAGAACATTTGGGCTTCCCAGTCAGCCCTCAGTGCCTGGAATGATCTCTGTGATTTGGTCATTGTCAGATGGGACAGAACAGAGGAATGGGCCCCTTGGAACTGTATTCTCCTGACTAAAGATGAAGCAAATGTTCATCTCAAGATGAAGAGCCTTGAAGAGGTAAGAAAGATTGAAGTGTCATTTAATTAAAGATTAAAGGGCAGCTTGGGGGCAACTGTTAGATAATTTTAATGAAGTTAAAATGAATTGCATCCTAAATGCATGTTCCCAAATCTTTATGGGTATCTATGTTTTAAGACAGTTAACCGGTCAGTCAATAATCACTCATAAAGCAAATACAGAGAGTTGTTCACTTTTTTTTTTGGTGCTTTTTGGTGAGGCAGTCAGGGTTAAGTGACTTGCCCGGGGTTAATTGTTTGCTTTCAAGGAACTTTGGTTACAATGGGGGAGACAAATTCGTATATAAGTACATATAGAATAACTATGAAGAGAAAAACCATAAATATAGAAAGTAGTTGATACTGTGTAGTTAGGGAGGTAGCGCACTAGTAATTGGGGGGGTCAGGAAAGCCTTTCAGTAGAAGGTGGTGTCCAAGTTAGTCTTGCAAGAAGAGAAAGAAATTGTGTGAAGTGCTGGCAAGGAGGGAGGCCAACCATGCTGGGCATGTGCAAACTCTTACGGAGCTGCAAGATGGAGGCCGTGTGTGGGGAAGAGAGAGTAAGATTGTTTAGCTTGAATACAGAGGGAGGGAAAGGACACCAATACACATTGCTGCCTCTGTCTCTGATGCCCTCTGTGGTGCAATCTGTCTGTGCTTATGTTTATCAGCAGTTTGGGAATAATGTCTGTCTTTGTAGTATTGCTATGAGAATATGATAGGGAAAAACTTTCAGAGTCATGAAGGGCTACTAGTTCATAGGTGTTAAAAGCAGGTAGAGGACTGTAGCTTCATTGATCTAGAATATGAGGGGACATGAGGAGCCATCCTTTCATTTTACTGAGGCCCAGGGAGGGTGACTTGCCTAAGGTCACACAGGTGGTCATTTGAAACCAGGTAGGTAGGATTTGAATCCAGGTCCCGTGACTCTAAAGCTAGTGTTCTTTCCTCTGGACCGTGTTGCCTTCTCTTTTCTGACGTTTCATTTTCTGATGATCAATACACAATATATATAACCCCACCCACATACATATATATATATCTTACATATAAGATCTGCACAACATTTTCCTCCTTCCAGTTCTAAATAGTGATAACAAGTGTTTAAATGACAACAATTCGCTCATCAAACACATATCAATCACCACCATGGGCCAGACACTGTATTAAGCTGTGGGTATGGGAAAGTGAGAATGAAGCGGCTCCTGCCTTCAAGGAGTCGCCATTCTTTCTGGGGAGGCGACATTTCCATTTATAAGTACGTACAAAATGAACACCAGGTGGTTTTGACAAGGGGACAGGCTCGAGCTGCTGGATCAGGAAAGGCCTCCTGTAGGGAGGTGGAGCCTGAGCTAAACTTTGAAGGAAATGGGCATTCTAAGGGGAGGAGTCAGGAGGCATTCCAGGGAGGGGTGGGCACAGCCCTTGCAAAGGCACAGACTGGAGATGGAACATCACGCATGAGGAAAGTGTCTGGCCCATAGAGTGTGGGAAGAAGAGCAAAGGAGATGTAGAAAAAGTTCTTACACAGATGTTTTAGTTTTTGCTTGTATAAAATTGTTTTCTGAATCTACTTCGTATATCTGTGCATGGATCATTGAGCCTTTTGTAATAGCAAATGACATTCTTTCCATGTCTAAAAGATCTCCTCAGGACAGCATTTCCTAGGAAGGCTCCGAAGTCTAGTAAGGCTGGAGAATAACTCAGGGTCAGTGGTTCAGATCCAGCACAGACTGGCAGTGGCTGAGATGCTGTCTATCACTTCTTTACCCAGGGTTTGTTAAGACAACTAAAATTGAAGAGTCCCTAAATGGCAATGCTAATTGGTAGTTTTAGAAACCCAGGATTAAATCAGCCCCGCAGGATAAATTACCTTCTTACCCTTGGGGGCAATCTCTTTAAAAAGTGCTCTGGAGATTCAGGTTTTATACCAAAATTTACACAACAGACTATGGAAAATGAAATGAAAATATCCCAGAATTGATTGAAATATGAATGCTCCCCTGTGACGGTTCTCATTGTATTAAGAATGGGAACTCTGTAAATGAAAAAAAGTTTTGTAAATATGAACCCTTGCATCTATTTTTCTGAGGTTTAGTCATTAAAGGAGTACCTGAAAATGGAGAACACTGTAAGTTTTGTTATATTACACTGACACACTGCACTTTAACTGGCAATCATTGTGATGGAATATAGATTTAGTGTAGTCACCTAGGCTCGCGGCCTCATTATGCATTTGCTTCCTGCTACTATAAACGATAGAAGTATTGCAAAAATGAAATAACATTTATTGTTTCCAAATTTGAAGTCAGGGATGAAATTGGTGGAACATGTTGATGAACAGATTTGAGAGTCCCTGTTGATTTCCAAGGGAACTCTTTCCCTGAAGGCTGTAGATGAGAGGATTCATGCATTTAATTTAGAAGGAAGTTTGGCCCCTCAGCAGCTGAGATGCGTTCTCTGCCCACCATTGATTCAATCTCAGCTGCTGGTAATTCCATGAAAGATCTCACCTGGGGGAAAATAAAGAAAATGCTCTTCAAATAGTACTCATTGTGAACATTTTCTTATTTGCCTGCTGTAGGTGTGTCGGTTTGGGGATGCCGAAGTGGTTAATATATTTTTGTTAAATTGAATTTAAAGTTTATTTTCACTAGACTCTTAAGAGTCAGGAGGGTGCAGTGGGTTAACGCTTAGACTCTGTTCCTACCCCCTACTGTAACCCACTTTGAACACATCCTTTTCCCTTTCAGAGGCTTTTCATCTCTAAAATGAGGGACTCTAAGGCTGTTTCTAGCTCTGACATTCTGTGAGGCATTGTGGCATAGTGGGCAAAAAGCTGGCCTTGAGGCCGGGAGGCCCTGGTTCGGACCCACATGTGGCCTCACCCTCCATATAGGCAATGCCTTAAGTTGGCTCTGAGTTTCAGAGAAGGTACTGAGGTACATTGGTAGAAAGGGAAACAGATCTAGGTCCTATCCGCATCCTTTTAGGATTAAAAGGATGTTCACATACAAGAGTGGGGAGCCTGTGGCCTTGAGGCCATATTTTGGTTGGGGAAGTTCGGATTCAGTCAAAGGGCCACACTTGAGGACCACATGTGTCCTTGAGGCCACAGGTTCCTCACCTCATCATGTAGATCACCTCCCTGATCGTTACCACCCCGAAGGGTTGGTGGGAATGCTGGGGCGAGTTCTGTGAAAATGAAAATTGAGGCTAAGTTCAGTGACCCCAGAGTGGCCGAGCTATTAAATGATGAAGCCATGTCTCCCAGCCGATTTTGCAGTTCTAGGTCCGTAGCTTTCTCCATGGCACCGTGCTTCTGTATTCTCCACAGGGAATGAAATAAAGATTACAGTAGTGTTATATATTATATTTAATAAGCCAGGTTGCCTCATAAACATTTAATCAACCAGAAATGTAGCCAAGACTATCAGCGTCATCTCATTTAGGATAGGGCTGAAGTGAACCTCATTCCCAGTGCTGAGATTCCAGGGCTTCTTCAATTAATCCGCACGGCTCCCTTTGAGTATTTAATCTAATTACTGCAGTATCCAATTAAATGTTCTATTTGTGTGCATTTCTAATTTCAAGATGCCAGTGTGATTGGATTTCTGTAAGTTGAGCTGAGGCTCCAAGTCAGGCTGCCTCAAAATATTTCCTATAATTATGGTTTGAGGCCACTGTGATATAAGCATTTACATTCAATTTAGGCAAGGAACAAGAAGGAGTCTTCTCAGTTTATCTTTGTGTTGCAGATTTAAGTATTTCCAGGCTTCTCTTAATTTATAGGCTGTATTTACCCACTCAAAATTTAGGAAGAATAATCACGTCCTTTTTCAGAGACTGAATTAATCTTGAACGAGGGCCAGTAATCATGATAAGGAGATGGAAAAATATATACAGAAAGACTTCTGCTTTATGAATTTTTTTTTACATAGAAAAAACCAAAACAAAACATTGAAGCCTCTCCGTAGTAGATAGTATGATTTATAGTGAATTGGGGATGGGATTAGAGGAGATAGAAAATTGGAGTTCTAGTTGCAACCTGTATTTGGTATCCCCGATATTCCTGTCCTCACCCTCTCAACTCAGTATGACCCCAAGGAAGTGAATCTGCTTGTTCAAAGTCCATCTCAACTTTGTTCATTTTAATTGGATGTCCAGTGCCTTCTAGCACAAATAGGTACCACTTAATTATTCTCCCCTGAAAAGGTTAAATACTTTTTCTTCCTGATAGTTGGCCTATTAACATATGCATGTGCTTTTGGGTTTAGAAAACCCCACTGTGGGAAATGTTAGGCTTCTTTACCCTCAACTGCAGCTCTCCACACAAGCCCTTTGTGCTTAGCACTTAGCACCCAGCCAGACCTATTTCTTCCTACTGTGGTCTAATGGTCAGATTCCTTTACTGTTGTCAAGTTCCTAGCCAACTAATGCATACTGGTTACCTACTTGATACACTTGAAGTTCTACCCAGGTGGTATTAAAATTAAGTTTTTCTAACTTGATTTTTATGTACTTATTTTTAAAGTTTTATTGGTATATTTTTTATGTTACAAATACCTCCAGATTACTCCTACTCCATAAGAACTCTCTTGTAACAAAAGAAAACAATTAAGCAAAAACTAACAAAAAAGTGATGGCATCTAAAAGTTCATGCAACGTTCCCTATCTGTGGCACTCCTAAGCTTTCTATTTTTAAGTGAGTTTTTTTTTACTTGAACAGAGATCTTTTTTTTCTCCCTGCCACTGCCATCTCATTAGAAAAAAAGAAAAGAAAAAACAAATTCCATGTAACAAATATGTAGTCAAGCAAAACCAATTGATTATATAGAAATATAGAGATAAAAATAAATGCACATATATGTGTATGTATTGACTGTATGTTTGTTACAAGGAATATATAGGTGTGTATACATATATACATATACACAGATATACATATATACATGTATACACATATGTATAAAATTCTGTATGCTAAATCAAGCACCTCTTTATCAGAAAGTAGGTGCATGTATATTTCTTTATTTTTTTTTGTTTTTAGGCAATTGGGGTTAAGTGACTTGCCCAGGATCACACAGCTAGAAAGTGTCAAGTGTTTGGTCTGAAGCTGGATTTGAACTCAGGTCCTCCTGACTCCAGGGCCAGTGCCCCATCCACCGCACCACCCAGCTGCCCTGGGCATGTATATTTTATCATTGGTTCTTTATCATCATGGATGGTCATTGTATTGATCTCAGTTCTTAGGGTTTTCAAAGTTGTTTGTCTTTATAGTGTTGTTATTATGGAAATTGTTTTCCTACTTCTGCTCATTTCCTTCTTCAGCTCTTTATCACTTTATAAAAGTGATGCAGTAGATAGAATGCTGGGTCAGAGTCAGGAAGATTTGATTTAAAATTTGACCTGAGACACTTGCTAGTTCTGTGATTCTCTGCAAGTCACTTAACCTCTGTCTGCCTCCCATTTCCTCATCTGTAAAGTGGGAATATTAATACTTCCTACCTCCTAAGATTATTGTGAGGACAAAATGAAATAATGTTTGTAAAGTGCTTTGCCGACTTTAAAGCACTGTATGTAAATTCTAGCTTTAATTCAAAATTGTTAATTTTTAAAAAGAATATTGATGCTATAGTATATAAATTTGGTTCTTATTTCACTCTGCATAAATTCATATGTCTTTCTATGTCTCTTTGAAATCATCTCTTTCCTCATTTCTTACAGCAAAATAGTCTTCCATCACATTCATGTACATCAGTTTATTTTCTCAGTCAGTTAGTGGATCCTGCTTATCAAACACTGTCTTTGATATACTTTCCGATGAAAACCCTGAGTGCCTAGTTGAGGTCTGGGGTTCTTGTCCTCTCCCAATGAAATGTATGACCTTGGGCATATTATTTAACCTCTTTGGGATTCCCTTTTCACCTTTGTAGAAAGAGGAGTATGACATTTATACTGCTCACCTCCTATCATTACTGCAAAGTTCAAACGAGGCAACACACAGGAAAACGCTTTGAAAAATATAAAGTAATAATAGCTAGTATTTAGATACTCCAGTATCTTTGCCAAGAAAACCCCAGATGGGGTCATGAAGAGTCAGATACGACTGCAGAATGACTAACCAATTTAAATGTCAGACTTGAGGAATTTGCATTTTATCTTAGAGGGATAGGACCACTCATTGTTTTTTGAGAAGGAGAGGGACATGATCAGACCTGTGTTTGTATTTTTAATTTTACTTTGTGAAGGATGGACTGGTAAGGAGTTTCTAGCATTAGGATACATATTTGAAGGATAGACAGCATGTTTATTCCATCTGCACTTGTATAAGTCTTGTTGGCTTCCCCTTTAAGAATATAAACTTCCTGTAAGTAGTGATTGTTTCATTCATTGTTTTTATATCTCTAGTGCCCTAGCACAGTGCAGGGCACATAATAGGCACTTAGGAAATACTTATTGATTGATTAACAAGAGATAGTATCAAGAAGACTTCGGTTAAACTCTTGCTTCTTATGAGGTAGGTAAGTTATTTAACTTCTTTCTTCCTTAGTCTCTTCAGCAGCTAAATGAGGATAATAATACCTATAGCACCTACCTCACAGTCTTATTGTGAGGCTTAAATGACATAATAGATATAATGCATTTTGCAAACTTTATAGGGGCATATTCATATCAGTCCTTTCTCCCTCCCTCCCTTCCTTCCTTCCTTCTTTCCTTCCTTCCTTCCTTCCTTCCTTCCTTCCTTCCTTCCTTCCTTCCTTCCTTCCTTCCTTCCTTCCTTCCTTCCTCCTTTCTCTTTCTTCTTTCCTTCCTTTCTCTCTTCTTTCCTTCCTTTCTCCCTTCCTTCCTTTTTCTCTTTCTCTTTCTTCCCTCCTTTCTCTCTTCCTTTTCTCTCTTTCTCTCTCTTCCTTCCTTCCTTCCTTCCTTCCTTCCTTCCTTCCTTCCTTCCTTCCTTCCTTCCTTCCTTCCTTCCTTCCTTCCTTCCTTCCTTCCTTCCTCTTTTCCTTTCTTTCATGGAATTATAGAGCTGAAAAGAGCCTTCAAAGATCATCCATTTACAAAAGATGAAATTAAGCTCTTGAAAGTTTAACTGACTTATTCAAGATCACATAACTCAGCTCATGGAAGACCTGAGTCTCTTGACTTCTGGTCCAATGTTAGAAACTGTCCCTTTTCCCATTATTGCCCTGTGTTCTTGTCTCTTCTTCACATAGCCCAGACAGCTAGACAAGTTCACCCAGTATGTATATTCCCTTCTTGCAGGTTACTTAGTCCCTTGTAGAAGGTTCATTAACTTTTCAGATCACTTATCTCTAGCCCCTCAACACTAAATGATTTTCCCCAGAGCAGAGGTGTCAAATATGGGGCCCATAGGTTTCAGCAACACTCTCCAGTGCCAGCCAGAACCAGATTAAAATGTAATTGGGAAATATTTAACAAAATAAATAAAAATACAGTAAAACATAAATAACATTAACATATGGTTCTCTAAGTCAATGCAGGGCCTGGCTTGCAGGGGTCTTTCTATATGATTTAGTGGTCTCCCCGTTCCCCCATTTGAGTTTATACCCCTGCCCTAGTGCCCCCAAAGCTTAATGTACAAGTGTATCTAATTATTACATTGACCTAAAGTCAGGTTTGCCTCTATCACTGATTTGAAGATCGAACGAGAAAGGTAGTAAGACACAGAAAAGAAATGGAGTTTTTACCCATCATCCACATGGGAACAGATCCAGGTTAAGGAAATAATGTCTTCTTGGAGAAGGCAGAAATGGATTTGAATATCAAGGTCTCAGTACATCAGTGGTCACTTCTACTGCTTTGACCTAGCAAACAATGTCTGCGACGATTAACAGAATATGGATTTTCTTCTCTTTCAGGGATATGAACCAGTGTTTATTCACAAGATCAAACATAAGCACATTCTAGCTAAGAACTATTTTTCTCAGATTCCAATGATGGCTGCATTTTTACATGTTTATGACACTGAAGATGAAGCAAAGGAGGAAGAAAGTAATGAAACAAAGGACAAAGAAAGTAACCAAACAGAGGAAGAAACAGATAAGGAAACAATGATGTCTACACCTAAGGATACAGAGGCAGAATGCCTTCCACATTAGTGTTTTCCTCTGTGACTAATTGAGTAACATAATTATAATGCAAGTAAAGGAAAGGGTTTATGCCTTTTTTGTAGCATTTCTTAATTACTTATCTTTGGGAGTAGGATGAGTTTTATGAAGATAAAACATCCTTACATCAAATGTTTTGATGTTGGTCTATTAGTTCAAAATCAGCTTTTGTAACTATATGCAGTGTTTTGAAGTAAAAAGAAAATGTGTCCGTCTCATTATTTGAAAACTGATATTTATTAATGCTTTAAAATTTTTTCAAAGTGCTTTATGAACATTATAAATTATCTCATTTCAGCGTCATGAGAATTTTGTTGAGCTAGGTACTACTAGCATTGCTATCCTTGTATCTACTCCACCACAGTGCCTCTGACTTGTATGCCAAATCATGTTTTTATTCATTTTTTTTTCAGACATCTTAAAGTAGTTAAGGGTTTCATAGGAAGAATGAATGAACTTGGCTTATTTGTATTAGACATAATGGATTTTGGTTTTTGACACCAGTACATGTGAGTTCTTTCTTTGATTCTTTCCCTTATTTACTGTGAGACTTTGCCAACTTTATCTTCTATTTCTCAGTTTCCTCATCTGTCTAATACACATAATCACTGTTCCTGCTCATCTCGAAGGAGCGTTGGGAGACTTTTGAAGTAGAACTTTTCCTTGTTTATTAAATACCTTCCTTCCTTGAGAACTCTTCTGAAGTTCTCCTCTGTCACTGCCAGGGCTTCCTGGACTCACTGGGAACACAGTATATTTACCACCTAACCAATAGCTCGTGGAATCACTTTCCTTTCCCAAATAGTGAAGAAGCATAAAACGGTACTAGTGAAATGACTAGCAAGGCATTAAGACAAGTAAAACAATAACGTGCTATTTTAAAGCATCTTATATAATGCACTTTTGCCACCATCGCTCTAAACTCTCTCTTTTTTTTTTAATTAGGCAATTGGGGTTAAGTGACTTGCCCAAGGTCACACAGCTAGTAAGTGTCAAGTGTTTGGTGTGAGATCAGATTTGAACTCAGGTCCTCCTGACTTCAGGGCAGGTGCTCTATCCACTGTGCCACCTAACTGCCCCCACTCTAAACTCTTTGAGAACAGAGAGCATATTTTTTTTTTCACAACTCTCTACTGTATGGTACTATGGGGACACCAGGGACTAGTGATGGTGATGATACCATGTGTCTAAGTAGACTGTGGAAGAATGGTTTCATCTAGGATTTTCAATCCAGTTGATTGTGCAGGTCTATCTCTACAATACTCTTAACCTTCTTATCTGAAGTAAGGTCACATTGATTAGTTTGAGCAAAAGTTCATAAGACTGTTCTGCTGTCATGTGTGTTGACATGGCCTATCTGAAAACATCTAGAGACATTCTTCCTATTACAAACAATACTTTAATATTTAAAAAATCAGATTTTATGATCTAGATGAAATTATATGTCCTTATTTGCTTTTGAAAGAGATTAAACAAAAGGTTTACTTTAATTTTCCATTTCCCACTGTTTATTTAAAGGCTGATTTGATGTATAAAAATAAACTTCTACACCTTTACTCAGGCATTTGCACATAGTTCAGGAATACATTTATATTGCATAAAGTAAAGTGTACGTTTGCTCAAAATTAGTAACACTATGAGGTAGCCAGTAACCCCTTTTTGCATTCGACCTGACTAGTGACTTTCAAGTAATGTCTAACACTCAGATTTCCAAACAGTGATGGTTTCAGTGACTCTCAACAGTTACAGGTATCTCAGAGTGAGTGGGTTGTCCTAGTAGGTAGTGGGTTCTCTGTTGTTTGAGGTTTTTAAGTAAAGGCTAGGTGTCAGCTTATCAGAGGTTTTGCAGAAAGATTTCTTGTTCAAGTGTATGTTGAACTAGATGGTGGCAGAGTTTTATTGTTGATATTTAATCCTGTGTGATTCCTATTCATGCCCTTAAATAACCCTTTTTGAGGCTTTCCTTCTAGGTCTTTTAATATTTTGTGGAGAGTAGTACAATACTTGGACTTGTCTATATTGACCCTCACTCTTATATGTGACCAAGCCACCTTCTCTTTTGATCATACATATGCTTGAGGGGGTCTTGAATGCCACTTTTTCCCTGAAGTCATTATTGGTAATATGCTGCTGCCATGCCAGTCATTTATTTTTGGATTGTCTTTTGGGGCTCCAGCAGTTTTCATTCTTCTGAGATTGTGATGGTATTGGTTAATTCATATCACCTAATTGAAATCTGTGTCATTGTAATTTCTGTTTATTGATCCTAATTCTGCTATCTAGAACCAATCAAAACCAGCCATCATCCATATGACAAACCATCATCTTCTCTGAGAACAGGGCCCATGTTCCCCTAAGTTTTTTCTTTTTCAAACAATGTATGCCATTGTTTCAGAATCATTCACCATTTTGCTCACCAACCCTTTGGCACATTCAGTTTATCAATGTTACTTCTAAATTGCATTATTTTTTGTTTACTTATCTCCTCACATATTGTTTCTCCCTCAGTGGAATTAAGGCTCTTTGAAGGCAGAGGCCATTTTTTGTGTTACCTTTGGTGAAGGAGGGGTGCATTAGGAAGGCTTCCTGGAGGCAGTGCCACCTGGCTGAACCTTGAAAGAGAAAATTCTAAGATGTGAACAGAGTGCTTTCCAGATGACAGCATAATCAAATACACAGAGGTGAAAGAATGTCAAATTTAGGGACTTCAGTCCCCCAGTTTGTCTGGAATGAAGAGTGCATAAAAGGAATGAATGTGAAATAAGCCTGTAAAGATAGGCTAGATCCAGATTGTAGAAAGATGAATAGTTAGTTTTTATCTGAGAAGCAAAAGGAAGACATTGAAAGTTTTTGAGTCAGAAGAGAAGACATGATCCTTTGTACTGTAGGAATATTATTTTGGTAGCTGTGTGGAGGGTGGATTAGCAATAGGGAGACAATTAATAGACTATTGCAGTGGCCCAAGTGAGAGGTAATAAGGTTCTGAATTTGTGGGTGGAGAGCAAGGATGGGAGAGATTTTGATAGTCTAAAAATGTTGAGCTTTTGGGACTAGGACAGGCTAACACTGCCATGGTCATGGGGAATGCTACCCCACTCATCCTTTCTTCCTGACATTTTCTGAAAACTTCCATACCCCATGCTCGTACTCTGTTTGCTCATAGCTAATATCTAGCATTATCCTGCCTGTAACATCAGACATCAGAGGTGGGAAATCAACAAGATGCACCTGAGTGAGAACCATGTCTTCCTTCTTAAAACCATGATCTTTGACTGTGTCGATGAGCTGCCTTTATGTAAAGGTAAAAGAAGCCTAGTTATCCCCCACACTGATGAGAAGAAATGGAGCATTGAGAGATGGACAGCATGTGTCAAGTCTGAAGAAAGTCTCTGAAAGACCATCATTGACTCCCTTTCTTCTTCTGTGGCCTGAAGACTATTGCACTGAGGGCCGGTTGTAGCCCTCTCTCCATTAGCTGAATCCTAATTGTATCCTTTGCCCCAAACTTCCTTCCCTCATTAGCCCTGTTCTCCCATGCTCTTGGTTTTATGCCCTGACCTTCTTCTTATATGTCTTTTAAAAAGCATCATAATAAAATTCCTATTGCTTTATGCATTACTGGATTGTCTGTTTCTTTTGTTGAACATCCTCTAAGCCTCATAACTGCTGGTAGGGACTGGGGTAAAGGCATAGATGTAGAGTCAACAAATCAACTTTGCTATGGGAGAGCTGAGGGATAGGACATAGCAAGGATGTCCCTGTGGTTATACCCATGAGTAACTGGAAAGGATGATGGGGGCCTCAACAGTAAAAAAAAAAAGTATGAAGGAGGGGTGAGGTTAAGAGGGAAGAAAAGTTCCATTTTTGTGCTTGTTGAGTTTGAAATAACTATTGAACAACTAGTTGAAAATGTCTAGCAGGCAGCTGGTGATGTAATATGGGAGCATAGAGGAGAGGTGAAGGCTAGATTTGTAGATTTGGGAATCATTAGCATAGAAATGATACTTGAAATAATTTGAACTGGTGAGATCACCAAGGGAGAAAGAAGAGGGGCCAGTACATCCAGTCTTTAGGGAGTGAGAGGTGAAGAACCAGGATGACTACAGAGACAAAAAAGAAGCAGTCAGACATGTATAAAGAAATTCAGGGGAAAAAGTAGTGTTACAGAAGCCAAGGGGAGATGGGCATCTAAGAGGAGTAGATCAAAAGCATCAAAAGCCTGCGGAGGTCAAGGAGTATGAGGAAAAAAGAAAAGACTTAGAAGTCAAGCTTGTTGGTAACTTCATAGTGGAGAGTTTCAGTAGAGTGATACCTGATTATGAGGGATTGAACATGAGTAAGGTGATAAAGAAATAAAGAAAGTGAGCAGATAATTCTAGAAGCTTGGCAGTAAAGCAAGCTTGAAGAAGGGTTAAGTAAGGGTTTTAAAGAATGGGGTGGAAATGGTATGCTTGAACATGGAGGCAGAGTGGAAGGTATATCTACATATCTATCTTTATGTTTGTATGTATCTCTCTTCTTGTCCCATCCCCTTCCTCCCCCTTTGTTGAGAGAGAAGTGATGGTGGATGGCTTAGGGGGCTTGAAGAGATGACAAAGTTAGGCTTAGCCATTGTGGGTGGCATGGTAGTCATTTGGTGAAGAATAAAGGAATTTCTATGCAAAAGTGAGGGCCCACTTGAGATTAATATGAATTTTTAATGCACGTTGTGTGCTTGACTTTCTCCAGTGGCATTTAGCAACACAGGATTAAGAGCAGAGAAAATAAATGATGATAGGAGTGATGTAAAGGTGGGGATGACAGTGTAAAGATGAACTCATCAACTACAGTTGAAGAGGAAGGTGAGGCTGGAGTCAGGGTGATAGTCTAGAAGACCAGGGTGGGATAGAGGGGCTGAAGGGCAAGGTAGGAAAAAAAAAATTCTTATACATATATAGTCTGTCCCAAAGGAGCTCCATTATGGGTTTCAATAACAGACCATGTAAAAATATTTGATTTTTATTAGTGACTCAACCTATCACACATAACATGTTAGTGCTTAGCCTTTGCTCATCCTAGCTCAATGCTTCCGCTAGTGACACTCTTCTGAATGGAAGAGTGATAGGCCGTTTGGAAACAAGAGGAGACATTCCCATATTTATCAAATAAGAAAAAGATTGGAAAATATCTTTTCACCTTGATGCAGGACATGAATCATAGTTTTGAACCCTACATTCTATTCATCACTGTATTCCTGAATCTTTTGGCTTATCTGGAACATTGCCATATGATTTTCTAGGCTTACCCCAAGGTATTTTTCAAAGGCAATTTTGTTTTCCTTTGGAAAAAGAAATTTTAATTTATTTAAATTTGATTCCTCTGGAATCATAGAATGTCATGGAAGTCATCTTGGAAATCGTTTGGTCTGACCTGTTCATTTTTCAGAAGAGGAAACTCATTGAGCTTAGGAGACCTTCCCAAAGTCTATAAGCTGAGGGCCCCCAATTCCAGAGGAAGAAGTATATTTTTCATATCACTTGTCTCAAGTTCAATTTATTCCCATTAGATGTCAGTTCTAGCCCTTGTGAAACTGAATAGTGATGGTAAAGCCAGTGCATCTTCTGAATCAAGGAGTTTCTTGCTCAGGGTTTGAATTAGCATTTCATGATACACATTTAAAAATGTCACTTGATACCCTCAAGGACAATCATACATTAAATTTGCCATAACGGTAGGATAATTTTAAAAGGTACTTTCCAAGTGAGGTTGGATTTCACAGGTAACTCTGAACAAATACTTTTAGTTAAGGTATGCTGAATTCTCTTGGTCTGGGGAGAACTGGGGTAATCCCTCTGGCAGTCAGATTTTCTACAATATCTTCTATATTAAAACCCAGAAAGCATTGTGTGATCATCATAAAGTGCTCCAACTGTGTAGAGGAAAACAGACAAAATGCTAATCCAAAAATGGCTGTTTTAAAATATCTGCCTCAACTCAGTCTTTAGGTTCTAC